TACCAAAAAGATCCCATAACATTCGAGAAACGATGAAGATAATTTAAGACCCAGTCTCGTAAACCCCTTTTTGTGTCTGGTTTTCCTCTCGGCCTTGGCACGACAAGAAATATGGGGTATGGTCGGTTCTCGAGAAGTGGATGGTGGCAAGAAAGTTAGACACCATTTGTGCATGTTTTGTCGAGGGTCGCTTGTTGAATGACCTGACCACATGCATGCTTGGCTAGAAACTCAACTTCCTGCGCCGTTCTCATGCAATCTACATGCGTGTTTGGGTCCTGGAGATGAAGTGTTCGTGTCGTCAATTAATTGGCTACGCTGAAGAGACAGGTTGAATGACCTCCGCTCAAGCAAGCTGTCGTGTACTCCCTGAACATATCTGTCCAACCCCAATCTTCGCGACATCATTACTCCACGAGTCAAAGGGACTTCAAGCGTCGCTTTTCATCGCCTAACGTTTCTTATCCATACTTCGAAGCCCACGAGGTATTCTATTGATGCCACGCATGTGAAGTTAGGATATAGTGAGGGTTTCTCGCCAAAAAGTCTGCAAGAAGCACATGGGGGCCTGCATGTATGTACGCAGAAGCGTCGAAGCCGTGGGCCTGAGAACAGAAGTTCCTTTTAATCCCAGAGAACTGTTCCTTTGGACTATATACTCAATTTTTTTGAGCCTTGCTAACTCAAAGGGCTACATGCACGGAAACGTTCGAGTTCCTAACGAAAATTGCGTTGGAATCGACCACAAATCTTGTTTATTCCAAGGATTCCAACCCTCACAGGTCATAGGATGAACGAACTGGTCGTCGTCAAGTGGTTGAATACTAATGGGACGGTGGCGTGGCGCAATGCAGAGCATCTGCCGTACGGCCAGCACATGAGAGGTCTGTTATCTTGTATCCCTATCAAGGATTGTTCCAGGCTTCATCGTGCCACTGTAGTAATGTTCATTGTCAATGTTACGGGTGGCGAAAGGTACATAAGGTCCGAAGCCTCAGCACGTATGCAGTTGGATACCTCTAAAGCATTTTCGCTTTGTCCCTTTCCCCACCGAAATACCTCTATGCCTTCATCTTAAGCTCTCTTCGATGTAGACATGATTTCTCCTCCGAGGGTCTCTACGCAAATGGGGCTGCAAGCATTGTTCATTCGAAGTTTCATTCCGGATCTTGTGGAAATACGCGGTTATGACAACAGGCCTCTCATTCATTCGTCCGTCTATAAGTATGTATCATCCGCCGAGTCTCAATCATGACCAATCCTTCCGTTCTATACGGCTTGGATGGCGGTCACACGACATGCAAGACTTCTATCAAGTGCGAGAACTTGGCATTCAATTGACGTCACCTTGGTTGGGATCGAGAACTAACATGCACACGACCAACACACCACATGGACGGAACAAGGATCTGTATTGTTCATTTGCTAGGATGTAATTGATTCTTTGCTAATATTCTTGTCTAGAATGAGTCTACATACAGCGCTGTCCAGATTAGATGCATAATGATACAAAGGAAGAACGAAGAGGTTAGATGACGGGAACTTCGCGAGCCTCGGCCCACTCTCCGAACAGAAGGCTGATACTCTCGCCGTTGTGCGTCCTGCGTATGCTTTCCGCGATGGTGGGGCTGATATCTATCGTGACCAGCTTGTTGCAGTTGCTGGCATGTACATTTTGTGGGATCGTGTTGGTGACCTAATGGGTCGGAGACCTGAGATGGGGTTGGCTTGCGCGAGGGAAAAGATGCACGCACCACGAGCTCTTTTATCGGTAGGGTCTCGATCAGCGACATGTTTGTCTCGGAGAAGAGCCCTGAGTTGAGGTGGTGAGTGACGCAGAAGACAAGAGAAGGGAGATGCTACCATGAGAGATCAACGCGTGCACGGCTTTTGCGCCCTTTTCATTCAGTGTTCGAGCTGCGAGCGTGAGGGTGTTGCCAGTATCAATCATGTCGTCGACGAGGATCGCAACCTGACGAACGTGATTCAATACCACACCGAGACAACCGCAATGAAACCGACCTTGTCCTTGACATCACCAACGAGTAGGTCCATCCTTTCCGACTGAGACTTGCCATCGCGCGCACGATGGATGAGCGCAAACTCCACATTGAGTTTGTCAGCAATAGCGGTTACTCTAAGCCAGGATCAGAAACCAACGAGCTGAAACACGTGAAAAAAGGGAACTCACCGCTTGGCACCTCCGGCATCCGGACTTACGATGATGCACTCACGCCAATTGGGAATATTGCGCTTGATATACGAAATCATCAGTGGCTCAGAGAAGAGGTTGTCGACGGGAATGTCGAAGAACCCTTGGATCTGACTTGCGTGCAGATCCATGGTAATGACGTGGTCGCACCCTGCAACAGTGAGCATATTTGCAACGAGCTTTGCGGTAATCGGTGCGCGGGACTTGTCCTTCTTGTCCATGCGTGCGTAGGGGAAGCACGGTATGACTGCAGTGATCCTGCGCGCCGAAGCAGTCTTGCACGCTGAAATGAGGATGAGCAGCTCCATGAGGTTGTCGTTGACGTCGCTGCACCCGGACTGGATGATGAATACATCCTCGTCCCGCACTGACTCGGAGATCTTTACGTTGATCTCGCCGTTGGAGAAATTTTTGACGGTGACGGGAACGAGGGGCACGTTGAGCCTGAATGTGTGAAGAATCACTTGTCCGTGGACTGTTCATTTAGCTGCAGCTCATGGAGAGGCAGCTCACCGCTCGGCCACGGCTTGGGCGAGCTCGGGGTGGCTATTCCCTGTAGAGAAGGAGTGTTTAGGAGTGCTGAGCGGCAGAGAGCGACAACACTAACCCGTAAGAATCCGGATAGAGTTGTTGTGATACATGGTTGCAATGGTGAATATGTCGTCTGCTAAGCTAGTGCATGAACAAAAGGAAAGAGTTGAAAAGCTAGTGGAAGAGATGGTTGAGAAAAATTATCAGAAAATCAAGTTCATTGTTTGGCCTAAATATTTCCACAGCCACCACTGGACGAAACGGTTCTGATCTGAGATGTCTATTGGCTCATCACACGAACGTTGTACTTTGAGCGCTTTACGTTTATATATACATGGGAAGAGTCAAAACTCGGAGCATCAAGAAGGAGGTACTCTAATGGATATATTCTCCACCACGTACTCTGAATCGGCATAACCCAAGGTCTGTGGCAGGTACGAACTGATCGAAGATTTTCAGTGGCAGTCAACAGGGGAAACTCTGAGATAACGAACCTGTTGAGCCCTTTCACGCGTAATATCTGTGCTGAATTGTAGTTTGCCAGACCTCGTCCAACCTCGACCACATCATCCATGCTTAGGCCTGGCTCCTCAAGCGTCGATGTTTCTTCAAGCCCGGCAGAACTGGGTGACCGCGACAATGTGTGCATTGTGGGTGTCGTTGGACGCGTGCCCTCTAAACCCTTGGTGTAAGCTGCTTCCCGGTCGGCCGTCTCAGATGCTGTTCCGTCGGGGTAGCGTCGGATCACAATCCGAACAGCTTGGCCAGAAGCAAAGGCACCAATGACTCCGGTGACGCCGGCAGCAAGTAGGCGCCCTCCCGACTCACGCCGTGACAGGACGTGGTGGGCACCCGTGTCGATGATCACACTTCCTGACGGGAAAAGGGTATGGGTAGTCCAGGATTTGAGATCGCGCATGGGAGAAGGAGAGGCGGTGAAGATGGTGTGGAGAGGGCGTATCAGAGGAGTGGGTGATGAGCTGCGACTGGGATTTACACTGTTCGGTCCAGAACTTGGTTTCGAGTGAGATGGTCCGCCATTATCTTGTGGTGTTTTGGATGAGCCACGATCGTAGTACTGAATGATGTTGGAGATATTTTCGGGTCTCTTGCTCGATAGGATGACAGTGGAGACTCCTGCTGCAGTCGCGATCTCGGCTGCGATGATTTTCGTCTCCATTCCACCTGTGCCAAGGCTCGATCCGAGGGTCGTGGTACTGACTGAGACGATGCATGAAACCTCGGTAGGAAACTGATCAAAAAAGGACTTGCCTTGTGACCGTATGGCCGATATTGAGTCTACGACTTGTATCAATTTCGCATCGGGGTCTTTGCGAGGATTCGAAGTATATAGACCATCGACGTCAGTTAGAAGAAATAAATAATCGGCATGAATCATGGACGATGTAATTGCAGACAGAGTGTCATTGTCACCGAATTTTATTTCCTGACCACCTGGATCAGCACCAGGATTCGAAAAGCTAAGGGTCCACTCACGCTAACTGACACGGTATCGTTTTCGTTCACGATAGGAACAACACCCATGTGGAGAAGCTCCTTGAACGTATTGACTGCGTTCAAATATCGCGTCCGCTGCCGTCGCGTATGTTAGAGGATTTCACAAGAGCACCACACGGCCTCGACACACATCCGAAATGTCACCGCGCGTCAACAGCACCTGCGCGATCGGCTGCCCCAACTGACCAAAGAGGTTGTCCCATAACGCGATAAGTCGCCCCTGTCCAATGGCAGCCAGAGCCTAAAATAGGGAAATCCGTTGGAATGATGATCAGGTCCACCAGCCCAATGAGACGTACCTGTTTCCCCGATAGATTCTTGGGTCTCGAAGGGAGCTCCATGCGTTTGAGACCGACTGCGATAGCACCGGAACTGACGAGGACAACCTTATGTCCTTTAGATCGAAGATTAACTACGGTTTCAACGACGGATGAGAGTGTCGAAAGTAGGGGCTGATGAGTTGTTTCATGAACGATAGAGGATGAGCCTGGTTAAGTTGATGAGTACATGCACCTTGAAGAAAACTCTCTTAGGACATACCAAGCTTGATCACAATAGTGCATGGAGGTCCGTGTCGACGTGAAGACATCACGATCGATGTGGAATTGCAATCAGACTCTATTCCTATTCATGACGAGTGACTCGAAATCGGACTCGGACGTCCGATCATGCCGTCGGAATCCGGAAGCTCATCGGATGTCGGAAAAAATTTACGAACACAAAAAAAAAGAACCAGTGCTGCCACGTACCCGGATTGAACGAGTGACCTTCGCATAACAAAGCTCAGGGAGATGTATGGTACAAGTGCGACGCGCTACCACTACGCCAACGCGGCTGCTGCAAAAACAAATAGGAGCAACAACCAAAACACAATGGAGGTTTGGATGTCGAAAGATTCTGTGGCGCAAATGGCCAAATTGAGAAAATACAGAAAAGTGGTAGGCCATATTTTTAGGGGGCCACATTTCGAGGTTCCTGAGGACAAAGGCATCAATGCATGTGTGGAGGTGATCCTTGGTTGGAGGGTGCTTGCTCTTCTGAATTGCTATTGTTGGCATTGCCACAATCTTTTAGTCTAAAAAAAAATCATTGTTGTGTACAACACATTGTGTCATGTTACATAGCTATGAGAGCTGTCAAATGCCACACCCCCTGTGTATGTGGCAAATGAGTGGGTCAGTGTTTCTTGGCTGTTTAGACTATGTTACCCTGTTAGCATTCATCTGTCAGAGAAATATAACATGTTATGTTGCTGCTATGAGAGCCACCTGCAGAGCAAGCAGCTGAGGGCTGAGTGACACAGTTGAGGCCCAACCCATAGAGGAAAATGGTCAAGTGAAAGGCTGGGAGGGGAGCAGACTGGTGCCAGCATTAGTACTACTAGTACTGATTGCATAGAGTAGGTTAAGTTTCTTGAGCAGCATTGGGAGCAGTGCTCCCAGGCATATGCAGGGCATTCAAATTGGGGGAAGCACTTTGACATGTGAATGAACCTGAAAAAAATGTTTAGAGACCAGCATTGGTAAAAATATATGAGAGGAAGTCAGCTTTTTGACACATCTTTCATTGAAAGTGTTGTATGGGGATGATCAACTTGTGGCAACTCAGCAGATACCAGGGCCTGAGTGATGAAGAAGCCAATGAGCAAGTCAAAACAAGCAAGGCAGCAAAGATGTAGAAGGCAAACAAGGAGGATGGCACTGAGAACACTTACAATTCTGATGGATAGGCCTGTGATAATGCTGCTATCGTTAAGCCTGAAGGTGTTCCATCCTGCATTTTTGACAGGGATGCATCTAAAAAAGGAGAGAGAAAACAAAAGGACATTTTATGTGCATATAAATAAGCCAAGTCACTCCGACCTGCCTGGATCGAACAGGCGGCATCAAGATAGACAGGAACCATTACAGTCTTGCGCTCTACCAACTGAGCTAAGGTCGGTGACAATGTGTGGGTCTTTACAAATACGCAACCCTAGGCTTTGCCGGAGAGGAACAACTGGAATGAAATTTTATGTATATGTCTCGGGAAATTCGTGCAGCGAAGGCCCAATTCGGAAGGGACAAGAAAGTAGCGAACCACGTACTTTGTTAGGATGTCTCAGACGGAGAGGCAAAACTTATCCTCCCACCCTTCTAAACATCCGACCTGCCTGGATCGAACAGGCGGCATCAAGATAGGAATTATCCATTACAGTCTTGCGCTCTACCAACTGAGCTAAGGTCGGTTACATTGTAGTAGATTTCTGTGATCGTAATTTGTGGGAAGAGGATGCAGGGTTAATGGGTGTCCACATCAAAGGATGATAAGGCTCAATTTAATCCTAGAGAGCTCATGCAAGTCGAGGCGGTGCTCCTGCAGCCTCTTTCTCGTGCTTGAGGAGACGCTCAATGTTGGCTCCGAGCTTGCGGCGTTCCTCGAGCGAGAACTGTGGTGACTTTGACGAGTATCCCAGCTCTAGATCGGAGGAAAGTTTAGCTTTGTTCCTCCTTCAAGCCACGACTTACTGAGGATTGGATATTGGAGAGGAATCTCGTCGCTCCTTAGAGGCAGAGTTGAGAGATCGAGAGGTAAGGACGGACCAATCCAGGCGTTGCGGAACTCATGGTCACTGTTGACAGATGTTAGACCAATGACAAAGCAGGTACGAGTCACAACATACGTTCTCTTCGAGGGTAAATAGTCTCTAAGCAATCTACGAGAACAAATTCGCACTTCTTACCTGATCACGAGTCAAAGGATGTACGAGAATACTAGAAAATAATTCGACTCGATATCTCGTTGATGACAAAGAAAGCATACCTGAGATCGCCACGATGCTGACAGAGGTACGAAAACACCGACGCAAACGTTTCCGAAGGAACCCAGATCTCGTATGAGCCTGCCATTCAAATATTTCTACCAGTCATCACCCATAATGAACCCACGCACCTATCGGATGCGGGCCCATGGGCTCAGTATTGACACGAAAGAGCGGCACAGCAACAAAGGCACCGTCACGGCGTAATCGAAGGACGGCATCCCTTAGCTCGAGCGCGGCGTGATGAGAATCGGCGTTCTTCTGGTGAAAGTATATATCTAAAGACAAGAGCACATGAATCAGTGATTCCATCGGGCGGCTACCAATCGTACGAAAGTGCCATTCTCTGCAGATTGGCGTCGGTGTCGGCCTGAGAAGTTACTTCAGCATTGTTCACTCACTTGATTTCGTCTCTTAGAACCTCTTCCAGGTCAGTGGGAGGAGCCATGATGTGGAAACAGTGGAAGAGAGAGCTGCGGATCTTTTTAGAACATACCCTAACCCTAATCGCGGGTTTATTTACGCTTGGTTTCCACTTTGATTTTGCTCACCCCTCTGATGTCCAAACCTCGACCGTTAAAAGTTGCGTTCATTCATCCAGACCTTGGCATCGGTGCTTAGCCTTATTCTTCTGTTAGATTTTGTGTACTCAAAATTAGCGATGCCAAATAGGTGGTGCAGAACGTCTGGTCGTGGATGCCGCACTGGGTCTTCAGGAACGTGGTCATTCAGTGGATATCTATACGTCCCATCATGACCCTAATCACTGTTTCGAGGAAACAAAGGATGGTCAGTACAATTTCCATAGTCATTGACAAGGGACTCAGGATTCCTTCGACAGGAACGCTGAGAGTTCACCACGTCATCCCACCGTTTCCTCGCTCATTAAAGGGCAAATTCCATATTCTCCTCGCTCATGCACGACAACTACACCTCATCACGCACCTTCTATCCCCGTCTGCACCAAATTATGATGTGTACTTTGTTGACCAGCTATCGACATGTATACCCTTCCTTCGGCATCTTGGGAATGCGCGGGTCGTGTTCTACTGCCACTTTCCTGACAAATTGCTAGCAAATGGCGCGTTTGTAGAAGGAGAAAAAAAGAGAAAGCAGATTAGTCTGTTAAAGCAAATTTACAGGTTTCCCATGGACTGGCTGGAAGAAACAACTACACGTAGGTGTTCCCGCGTTTGTTAGCCTATACATCTCACTTTTTCACAGGACAGGCAGACATTATCCTTGCCAACTCTAAATTCACTGCTCGCGTCACGAAATCATATTTCAAGACGATTACACAATCTCTTCGCGTTGTCTACCCAGGGATTAATGTTTCTGCATATGAATCCACCGTAGATCCCGATGATCCCGATAGCATTGCAGTTTTCTCGTGAGTCCTTCGTGGAAAGGCCAACGATGATTCTTACTCGATTCAGTGACAAGCCAACACTGGTCTCCCTCAACCGGTTCGAGCAGAAGAAGAATGTTGCTCTCGCCATCCGGGCATTTGCAAACTTAAAGTCTAAGCTTCCAACTAAACCACTCAGACTTGTCCTTGCGGGTAAGAAATGATTCTAACTCTACCTCTCAGGCCACTAACAGTTACACCAGGGGGCTACGATTCTCGTCTTGACGACAACTTACTAACGCTTGACTCACTGATACACCTTACCAAGACCCTTTCCCTGACATACACCGTCATCACGCCCCCTTCAAGTCAAAAACCCATTAAGATACCCCCAGGAAACTTGACACCCAACGATCCCGACGTCCTATTGCTCTTAAACTTCACGACCTCCCAACGCACCGCCCTACTTTGCAGCCCTTCAACAGTAGCGCTACTTTATACGCCTGCTAACGAACATTTTGGCATAGGCCCCGTCGAAGCGATGGTATGTGGTGTTCCAGTATTGGCATGCAACAGCGGCGGACCCACAGAGAGTGTTCTTGACGGACCACGAGAGGAGAGAACAGGATGGTTGCGGCCTCCCAACACGGAAGTCTGGGCTGATGCTCTCCTTGAGATTTTGTCAATGAGCCTTTCTGAAAGGCAGGCGTTGTCAGACCGGGCAAGGGCTCGCGCACGAGACTTGTTTAGTATGGATGCTATGGCGAGTGGGATTGAGGGCACATTGATTGAAGCAGTTAGAATGGGTGATGTCCCACAGTTGATGTGGAACGTGTGGATGATGCTTTTTGGTTTCCTGATAGCGTATTTCGTTGGACCGCTTGTCTTTCCATCTCCAAAGCGGTAATGTTGCAATTGTTCAAGAATATGGACATATGAGGTCAGTGTGATGTCACTATTTTTCTGGGTGGAGTTTAGAAGGAATGGATTGAAGGAGCAATTCCAATGATATGTACCACATATCCAGTAATTAGGGTGATGCTCAGTGTAATGGTAGTCTGCTAGAAGGAGAAGAGTACTGTCACATGCTCAGAGTCTTGTGGTCAGAACTGTTTTAAGTCCTTGGATTGTGCAAGACTACTCTACTGAATAATCAGGTCAGACTTATATACTATGGGCAGTCTTGGGATCAATAGGGTAAGTATCATATGTTTTCTGTAAGTGGGCTGATGGGAGACTCTGGATCACATTCCGCCACATACACCCTCCCAGCTGGATAGTATCATAGGTAGAATAGACAGCTTCCCAAGTAAAGTAGTAGGGAAATTGGATATAATAGTGAGACAGTGATGAATGATTCAGGATGGGTTGAGGCCTACTTAGACTTGGCTGCTGGAGGCTTTGGGGAGTCAGGGTAATCCATGAGTTCCTGCTCCTCAGGCTCACCCTCTGTGTTGCCTGCCATGTCTGCCTCTGCTGGTAAAGGTATAGTAGCTGGGTCAACTTCCATCTTGTTATTCTCCTCAATAGCCCAGGCCTTGCCCTTACTCTTAGGATCAGGTTCTTGAATGACCAGTCCATGAGATGTCATGGCTTTGGATTGGGGTGCAGCCAAGCCCATAGAAGTAGAGCTGGATGAACAGGAGGAACCTGAGGCTGTGGAAGAAGAGGGTCCATTATTGACATG